CAGATGCGATCTGCTTGCTCAGCAGGGGATCTATCCGCTGATCCTCACGGAGCAGATGGATAACAGGTCCGTGTATGCTCCACTTATGCAGAGTGGACACGGATACAGCCCGCTCTCCTCTCTGGGCGGTTGGATGTAAACAGACCGCCTGTCCGTTTACACCTGACTGCCATCTGATTTGATCCGCTAGATGAAAGGGGAATGGATCCCCCATCCATCTGTTTTTAATTGGATTGGATGCAGGCGGGTATAAACAGACACGTCTTTTTACATCCTCCATAGAGGAGAATGGAGGTTGTGATCGGGTCTGCCTGAAAAACAGACAGGCGAACCTGACTGGAACATTCATTTGAAAGAAGAATAAAACAATAAAAAAAAGTTTTGGCTTTAGTTACACTTTACTGCATTCCCTGAATTAAGGTAAAATGTCTTAGTAGTTGTATTGTGCCCCCATCTCCCTGTATAATTACCTATCTCCTATCTCGATCCAGAGCTGTGCCCATCTGCAGCGGCTCTGGTGTCTATTGCTCTCTTCACAGGACACAGAAGAGGCAGCAGGAGCCAATGACTCCTGCTGCTGTTAATCAAATCCTGTGAGGAGGAAGGGTTGAGCCAAGCTGTGTACATCTATGGACAGACACAGCCCAGCTCTGGAACAAGCCTGCAGCTTGCTATGGCGGCACACACAGAAAAGGAAGAGCTGAGAGCACCAAAAAGGGACTGCAAAAGAGGAGGTTTGGGGATGCTCTGTGTGTAGGTAGCTGACTGGATACAAACCAAAACATGTCCCAAATCAAAGCTTTAGTTTTTTGTTTTCCTGGAACACATTTTCACATAAAACAATAGAAATGAGACTAGCCTGCTCCTCCTCAATAATTGGGTTAGATTATATAAGGATTATATATTAGGAAGCAGCTGAAACAAAAAAATATCTTAGGCTGAATTTAGTTCTTTATTCGCAGTTCAAATATCCTTTCTACTTCCAGAAAGTGAGATCTTAGTACACTTAAAGGGGAATTCCAGGCTGTACCTAACTGATTGTAAAAATGTCCCCAATCACCTACTAACACCAATGGTGACTAACCTGTGTAAGAAAGGTGTATATACTTATCTATTTTTAGGCTGCTCTGGTCCAGTCACGTGATCCAGCTCCCCTGTGTCAGCCAACAGCAGCTACAGTGGAAAGGAGATAGCACCCACCGACAATGGATAGACAATATGAGTTTATGGATGATGTCAATTCTCACAGGCATTACCAACCATTGTTGAGTGCTCTCTCCTCTCCCCTGAAGCCACCTCTGGCTGACACAGAGGAGATCACATGTTCGGACTGCATCGACCTGAAAATATGTAAGTATATACATCTTTCTTACACAGGTAAGTCAGCATAGGTGTTAGGAGTTGGGGGCAGCAATTTTAAGACTAGATAGGTATAGCCTGGAATTCCTCTTTAATTCCACTGTAATTAGAAGTCATGTTCACCTCTAAATTGGGTTAAAGTAGTGTTAAAGTAGAACTCCAGACAAAACCTTTTTTATAGAGCGAAAAGTGTCAGAACTCCAGTAGTAGGTTTTTTATTGCTGTCTTTGTTCTCCGTGGAAAGATTTCTGTGACAGACAAAGCAGGGAGTGAGTAGAAATCTACTCAAATTGGAGAAAAAAAATCCAAATTCTGACAGTTGTCATTAGAACAGGTGTCGCCATTGAAAAGTTTGCCCTTTACTAATCTAATGGTAACAACTAGTTGAGATAGGACCTGGTGGCCCACCTGCAACTGTTCTTGTTGTTTTTGTTGAGTGTTCTGTTCTTCTTTTCTTCCTTTTTTTTTTTCCTGATTTTTATTTCTTTTACTTAATTTCTCCATACTCTGTAAAATCTTGATTGACCCGATACTCAATATTGATAAAAAGGGCTCTTAAGGATGTAATCCTACTGTGTTTGATGTATACATGCAATGTACATTTCTATCTGTACCCATCTGTAAGATTGTCTCATGCCCTGTTATCTACTTATGTACTCCCTTTCAATTTTCAATAGAAACAGTTTGGATTGAAAAAAAAAATAATGGTGACAACTATAAAATGTTCGTTTTCCCCTCACTTCCAGAACAAGTAGAGTCGGGAAAAAGACAGAAATAAAAGCCTTACAGTGAACGTATTCCTTCTTTTCTATTCAATCCTAGGAAAAAGTTTTAGCTAGAACTCCTCTTTAAGATGGATATGATTATAAATATATACAACACACATACCTTTAAATTTTGTGTAATTTTTTTTCATTTTATGAATTAACTAGAGTTTATAAAATGAAAGTTAAAAGAAAAAACTGACTGTGTTCATTTAGGTCAGTGTCAAAGTATATGTTATCCTAAATATCTATTTTTTTTTTCATTTGTGTGTTCACATATGTGTATTTTATAAATCATAGTCTCTATAATTTTCATGTACTTGTTCCATCAGAAGTACCTGGTTGATCCTGCCAGTCACCTTTCTTCCTTGTTCTAGCTGACCACACAAAGCGCAGAAGTTGATCTGTTAGCCTGGTCAGTTTTCATTCTATGGTTGGCCTTTCCAAGGTACAGGACACTGTGCAGACTGCAGACACACAGCATGCCTGTATTGGGTGGTTTGTTCTTCCACCACACCCTCTGACCAATCACAGCCTGTTTCTGGCACACACCCCTTCCCAATCAAATCTTGCCTCTTGAACATACCCCCTGCTCAAGCACAGCCTTCATCTTGTATCAGGCTGAGCAGACTGTGGAATACAGATACATTGGGGGGAGATTTACTAAAACTGGAGAGTACAAAATCTGGTGCAGCTTTGCAGCTTCCAGGCTTTAATGTCAAAGCTTAAATGAACAAGCTGAAGTTAGAAGCTGATTGACACAATTACTTGACAAACCACAGATGGAAAGGAAGCCTTTTCCAGACCTCTTAGGACCCTAGAAACGCTATGTCTGAAAGGGAAATCCATTTACAAAACCACCTCTTTGGCCCATTCTTGGCTTCAAAACAATCCCTCTGGCACCCCCCAACAATTTTCGGCTAGGTTAGGAATCAGCCTTTCAGGCAGAGTTCTCTGATGACCAGAGAAAAGCTTGCATCTTTGCTCACAAATGCTCCATTAGCACCAGGACTCAAGAAACCTCCTACAAATTGTTAATGCTTTGGTATGCTATGCCAGACAGGTTAAAGAGGTGGTGTCAGGAATGGTCTTATCTCTGGTAGTGCTGGGGCTTACCTGCCTTGTGTCCTGCAGTACCAGTGCTGGCCAGCGGGTGCTCTCAGCAGTCAGTGTCTCGCTCCTGCAATCAGGCCATCACCGGAGGCTGATTGTAGGAGGTGTATTTAAGCAGGACCAGGCCTGCAGTCAGTGCCTTGGTGTATTGCTCCCTTGTGCCCTGTAGCCTGATCCTGTATCCTGCCTGCCTCTCTGCTTTGATCCTGACTCCGCATGAACTCTGCCTGTACCGACCTCGGCTACTCCTGACCACTTTCCTGCCTGCTCCTTGTACCATGTCTGCCCATTAGCTACCGACCCGGCCTGCCCAACTACGTTTGGTGTTGTACATATTGTTATCTGTTGGAGGTTTGGTTTTGTTTGCACTGTGTTTATGTTTAGCCTTGCACTGCATTTATGTATTGTTTAGCCTTTAATAAATTGTATTGTTTTATACAATACCCGAAGTCTGCGTTTCCCTGTGTCGGTCCACACATCTCTGGTCATACCCGGATCCCTGACAGGTGGTTTCCTTAGACATCAGGCTTATGCTTTCGCTGCGAGTCAGCTTAGGGATCCTTGTTTCATATTTGGTGGCAATGCCCACAGCTGAAGCCATTTTGGGATGATGTTCGAGAGCTGATCTACTCTATTACGGGGACTGCATTGCCATTAACCCCTGAATGTTGCCTCCTTCATATTTCTGTATTCTCTGAAATCGTACAAGAAATCCTTGGTGTGACACCTTTTGAATGCGGCTAAATCCTTCATTCCCAGGCACTGGAAGACCACTCATACCCCCTCGATCCAAGACTGGGTAAGAGAGGTTAATGCCACTATGGAATTGGAATGCTCACTGGCTATGACTGATGACATGGTAACCAGATTCCACAAATTGTGGTCCTGTTGGTATGCGTTCACTTTTTCAGAGAAGTATAAGGGGCTGATGGGCGAATAGCTCTTTTTCTCTCCTGGACATGTGGGCCATGCTGGTGAATTCTTGGCACCTCTCGTAGGGATGGTCCTGCCCTTACTATTGTTATTCTCATGCTTTCTCTACTAGCTTTTCATCCTTGACATTTGTACCTGCAAATTGTAAACATTTTAATATATGAACGCATCCTGCAGAATAATGTTGTGCTTATGCTACTGAGTTTGCTCCGAATCTAATTTGTATAATTGTGTATTTCATGATACAATATTATGTCATGTCTCCTTGCAGTTCATTTCTGTTTATATTTTCTGCTTTTTGTCTGAATAAAAGCCAATTGTTAAAAAAAAAAAAAGAATCTGATTGGCTACGATGCACAGCCGCACCAGATTCTGAGTGCTCCAGTTCTAGTAAACCTCACCTCTTGGGTGTCTGCACAGTGTCCTGTAACCTAGCCCCCAGATCAGATAGAAGAGATATATGGTCAAATGACAGAACATTTTAACCTTGTGAAAAAGGTAAGAAAATAATTTCTGAAACTAAAGTAAAGCAGGTATGGCACTTGGATAGTTACTGTACAATGGTATTAGAAAGTGTTGTGCTGGCAACTGCTTTAATATTCATCTTCTGATGTTTGAGAGTATAACAAAAGCATTGTAAGAGCAGTGACCATTAACATACAAATGTCTCATTAGTGTAAGGTACATTGTTTGAACAGTGTGAAATGCTACCTAAGTCTCATTAGAAGAGTGAAAACAGATTTCAGAATAAAGAATCAACACAAACATATAAATTAATGTCATTCCAGATCAAACATGCTAGGAACCAGATTCACAGTTTTTGACAATGGAGTGAACCCTGACACAAAGCCATTTGTGCAAGAGAGAGAATCGCTCAGACAAGAACTGGCATCAATATGTTATGTAAGTTATAAAACTCTTCAATTATTCAGTCATAAGGGTCAGTATAAAGTCAATGTAGATAAATGTGCCTATGGCTCCTGCTGCTGTCCCAGCCAATGAGGAGGGAGAGACCAGGGACAGCCAAAGCTCTCGTGCACATCGGTGGAACGAGATGGGGCTCAGGTAAGTATTAGAGGGGCTGGGGGGATTGCTGCACACAGATGGGTTTTTTTTACCTTTATTCACAGAATGCATGAAGGTAAAAATCCTTGAGCCTTTACAATTGCTTTAAGAAGGGATGGTCAGACTTTTGAATACTATACAAATGTAAATAGTAATGGCCTTGAGTATGATCTCTTTCCTCCTTCTTCTCCATATTGTAATATAAAGTAAAACATTCAAAAGGAAGCATGGGATCCTTTTGTAATCTCTTGTTTAGGTGAAACTGGAAATCCAGCTGCATAGATCTTTTTTTTTTTCTCTGAGGGACACAGCAAGCACATGGACACATTATTCCACCAGCATCTAGCAAACTCTAAAGTATTTTGTAAATTAATTCTAACATATACTGACAAATATACAGGCTGCTTTTGTTACTTGTCCGCAAGTCTCTGGCTTTAAAACGTAATCATTGATGAAGCATACAGACAATAAAAGTCAGAATAGAGACAATTTCCTATCTATATTTTCCAGGTCAGGAACTAGGAAAGTATTAGAGCCAATGAATTATGATGACAGCCATAAAGATAACAATTTCAGAAAGTGAGGTCAGCCATGTATACTGGTCAGCTAATATACATTAATATATATTCTCTCAGTACAGGTTTCCTTTAATATTGGTCACTTGCAAAATGTCCTTTATCATCCTGACATTACATTGTATATAGCAGCAAAATACATTTTTCATAACATGACAGCAGCAGCATCAATATTCTTAAGAAATTCCAAGCACAACAGTCAGCATTGTTAAACTAGCCAACAATGCCCTTTACTCTGTATCTAATAAAATTGCAGTTTTATATCCAAGGTTGAATGTAGGAAAAGGCAGAAAATACTCAAAAGTGCTGATCCCACACTAGCCTAGTTATCCATTATACTTCAGTAATCATATAATGATAGACACAGTTTTTCAAGTCAAACTGGGTCAGTTGTATTTTTCCTTTTTTTATCCTCTAACAGGAAACCAATGTTCTGGGGTTCAGAGGTCCTCGCAAAATGACTGTTGTTATTCCTGGGATGAACCAGGACTGCGAAAGAGTGTGCATACGGCCGCGTAATGTAAGTTATCTGTAAGATCATCAAAATCATTGGTCTTTGAGCTTAGCAATGTTTGAAGTAGGTGTGTTTTTATTAGACCCTCTTGAAGACTAGAAAGTCAACATCTCCAAAGTCTACCATTATATCAGGAAAGCCTATTTTTTATGGTGCAAGACTAAGAAGTTCTATTGTAGAAAGTACTCTGTGGGATGCATTCTGTCCTTCCCGTCAGTATGGTCTAAACCAGCATTTGATCTTAAGTACCATCAAGGGGCTAATTTTGGCCTTGGCCATTCTGTTTCAAAGATGGTGGCCTCTCATTCCTTATTTAAGGTCTTTATGCAGGGTGTCACACTCTTTTCTACCCCTGTATGTTCCCCTGTGACTCTGTGGAACCTTGACCTGAATCTATTAGCCCTTCAGAGACCGTCCTTCAACCCTTTTAGGGATTTTCCCTTGTGTGACCTCTCACGCAAGGAGGTCTTTTTATTGGCTATTGCTTCTGCACATAGGGTCTCTGAATTAGCAACCTTATCTTGTAAAGAGCCTTTCCTGGTGTTTCACAAACTCCAGGTTATCCAAAGGCCTAAAGCCTTTCTTTTTAGGTGGTTTCATCCTACCACCTCAACCAGGGATCCTGCTTACTTCTTGCTCCAAATCATCCCACGGATTGTTTTTGCCACTGTCTTATGTGCTATATGTTGTGATAGTCTACCTCTTGGCTGCAGCCTCTTTTTTTGACAAATTGTCCTTTTCGAATGTTCCAACAGGCCAGGGACCTTCCTGCTTTTTGCTACACCTTAGCTAGGTGGATTGGACAAGCCATCATTCAAACCCATAGTCTCTTGCTCCCTTTTACAGTAGTAATAAAGGCAATTTTTATTTCATTTTGGATGGAGTAAGGGATGGTAAAATTCTTCTCAGTTTTTTTTTTTTTTTTTAGCCACCTGTTCCCTATTATGGAGATTTCCCTTTACTTCCTGTCCCATAGCCAAAACAGAAAGTTGGGAAATTCTCCTCTATTAGTGTACATTGGGGACAATGGAAAATGTGGAATTTACTTTCACTTTAATTTTTAGGTGATAATAATACACAACAACAAATAGAGAGGGCGAATCTCCCTAGCGGGGGCACCAACAGCATTAGGAATCAGACAGGTGTTCAAATCCATTTTCACTTTGTCCTAAACCAAATAAAGCTTTTTCTTCAGTTCTACTTTAAGCCACACTCTACCAGATCTGTTAGTGCTTCGTTGGTTTATCAGCATAAGGCATCTCAGATTTGCAACTCTGCAATCTGGTCTTTGCTTCACTAGCTTGTTAAAGGATAAGGTCCCCTTTTAACAAAAAATAATTAATGCACATTTTTTTGCAGGTAAAAAAATGTGCATTTATTATTTTTTGGTTCTGAAACCTATAAAGCATTGCCATGCAGATTTCCTGCAGACCTGTCAGTGTATCTGTGTGCTCGTACATCTTGTATGTTCATTGAGAACTACAAGCCGACAGCTGCAAAGGCTGTTGGAACTTGTAGTGTTCTCATTCACAGAACACTGTGTTTTTTAAAAAAGACATTTTTTTAAAATTGTAACAGCTAGCAGGGAGGAGAAGATCCCCCGCTAGCTGTCACATCTGGGATCGGGGAGCCGGTCCATTTGTAACATGTTACACCCTGAATATGGGTATAACATGTAACGTGTTACGAAACGCGAACTTATCCTTTTAAGTTTTACTAGGTCAATGTTCAAGCCTCATCTGATGCCATTTTTGGGTGTAATGTGCTGCATGCTGATCTCTTTCTGTCGAGCCCTTCTGAGTTCTGCCGAGCCTTTTTTGACTCGTTTCTTACATGGGTCTAGTGTTTGTTCACTGTGTTGCCCACCCCTCAGTTGGACTGCTTTTGGATGTTCTATTATTAAAGGCTAAGGTCACCTTTAGCAACATGTTACACCCATATTTAGGGTGTAACATGTAACATGTTACTATGCACCAGTTCCTACACCTCCCGATACCCCCCCAGTGACTTCTCCCCACACCCGCTGTCAGTTTAAAAACAGATTCTGTGAATGAATCAACTACAAGTTTTGTCTTCCACAGAAGCAGATGGCTTGTAGTTCTCAATAAACTGTAAGGGTGCTGGTATGTTCATTCATACAGAGGTATAGGCAGAGAGCGGCAGGCAGTGTCTGCAGGAGCCTGACATTGCACCTGCGATCTGCTAACAGAGTTGGATCCTGAGGAAAAAAAAAAGGAAATGTTTACCTGCAAAAACATGTGTATTTCTTATTTTTTTAAAGGTTCATTTAGACTTTAGGGACTGAAAATCTGGAGTCCTGTATCTTGCATAGGATTTCTCAATCATACAGTACAGGAAACAGGCTTCCCTTGATCGAAACCATGGGTTATATGCGGCCATCTTCAGGTGACAACAATCCATAGTGCTAATTAATGTGTACTCAGCATTATTTTATCACATGAAGGCAACTGCACATAACTCATGGTTAAAGAATAAAGATCCTGTGTCCTGTAAGAGAGAGATTTTACTGGTATGTTAAAAATTCTACTTTTTGCTCTTACTGGCACGGGTGTACTGTTCCATCCTATTGATGCTCGGGTGAAAACCCAGGAACACCTTCTTTATTACCAAATGGAGGAGTGTTTAGTGTAGCTCTAGAGTTCACACTGGAAAAAAACTATTAGTTACAGCCTTGTTACTCACAATTACGTAGCTTTCAGTACCACTACTATTTCTTTCATCATTACAGGAACATGAGACACTCCAGACTCGTTACCAAAATGGCAACATGGAGAATATTATCTCTCTTCACAACAAGGCACCATCCTGGAATGAGGAGACTCAGTCCTACGTCTTAAACTTTCATGGCCGAGTCACTCAGGCCTCTGTGAAGAATTTTCAGATCATAAAATGCTGTGGACCGTAAGTTATCACATTACATAAAGGAATATGGTGCACTATAGGTAGATGTGTATTTCATGTTTCAGTTAAGTACCAGGCAGGGGTTAAACAAACCTCAATCTGTGGCTCCATTCACACTTGCGTAACTCCAAAGTTGCGCAATATCCAGTTTGACTTTGTTGCAACTTTGATTCAACCTTACACTCTCTGGCACTAAGTCGCATCAAAGCTGTATCAAAGTAGTGCAGGAACCTTTCCAAAGTCGCATAGATCTAAATGGGTGCCAACGGGCTGACACTTGTCATGCAACTTTATGTGTCCAAAGTTGCATGACAAGTCACACAAGTGTGAATGGAGCCTTAAAGGTCCGTTCTAGTCAAAACTGAAATTTCAATTTATGAGTAGATATTTTGATAACTGACTCACTAATCCTTTTTTTCTTTTCTCAGAGACTGCTGTGGTTATTTATTATTTATTCCTTACGGGTACTTATATAGCACTATCAATTTACATATATAAGGTCCCTCACATTCATATATACACATAGTAGGGCCAATTTAGATGGGAGCAGGGGCGGACTGACAACTCATGGGGCCCCCGGGCAATAGGGGATCATGGGGCCCCTGTGTCCTTACCAACACTCAAAAAAGCCTATGAAAAAGGTACCAGGGGCATCTCAAGGGGCCCCCTACTGACCCCGGACCCACGGGCAGTGCCGAGTTTCCAAATGGTCAGTCCGCCCCTGGACGGGAGCCAATTATCCTATTAGCATGTCTTAGGAGTGTGGGAGGAAACCAGAGTATCCGAAGGAAACTCGCGCAGGAACAGGGAGAGAACATGCAAACTCCATGCAGGTAGTGCAATGGTTGGGATTTGAACCAATGATCCTAATGCTGCCTTGCAGAAGTGGATAATCTTCTTCCTAATGTTCCCAACTCTGATTCTCCTGTTTTGGGGTTTTAGATTTTCTACTGCAGGAGGAGCACTCTCTCTTTTTTCTACATTAGACATAATATAGAGTAACAGAGAAACCCAACAGTTCTAAGAGGGCAAGCAGTGGTATGACTATACCATGCCTTACTGCTGCTTTGTATAAATACAAGGCTCCACACATTTCTAAAGCACATTGCTCCTCTGGCTCTGGGGTTCAGAATGAAAAGCTAGCAGGAGAACTGGGTCACAAGACCTGTCAAAGTCACATGAATAGACCATAAAATCGATTCTTATCTGCAATTGCATGACAAATTGCCCCTCATTAAAATCTGAAAATAACTAAAGGGTACTTATAGCCCTATTCTAATTTTGGATATAGAAATGTAAATAGTAGAGTAGATAGTTAGAAACCTCCATCAGATATTTATTGCTGTCTGCACCCTCCCTCCTCTGTTTGTCCTAGTGACTTTTGTCAGAAAGTAGTGCAAAATGCAAAATGTTGCAATTGTCCTGGAACAGAAATTGAAGAGAAATCTTCTAATGAAAACACCTGTTCTGGTGAGGAGAGATGATTTGCCTTCATCACTTTGGAGGCTCCCTGTTTGTCTTTGGGACAGGAAGTGAAGAGAAATTTCCTCAACAAAACACACAGATAAAAATCCCATTTCCTACCCTACCAAAGAGAGGACTTTTGGCTATAAATAAACATTAGTGGATCAATGTTTTTATTGGTTCAGTAGCGCAAAATATCATAAAGTGAATGAAACAATACAACTTAAATACCATAATATAACACAGATATCATTCTATGGGTTGGTTGGTAAGAACCCTATGAGGAAGTCGGATGTGACAAACGCGTCAGGACGGTACTGTGCAGCAACAAGAAGTGACGGAAGCGGAACCGGAAGTGACGCGATCAGCGCCATTTTGTGACATTTGGCGGTGGTGAGAGCACTGCAAGGATTCACATAGCATTTTTGCTTGGTTTCACTATCTGCACCATTTTTGAACTTGAATTTCTTTTATTGCTTGTAAGTGGCTATCTATTTGGGCCAATAAAGAAGGTATTTTGTACTGCACCATTGGGTTTCTCTTTTGTGTTTTTCCCTTACATGACCATTTGGGAGGTGATCACAGAGAAGGAAGAAGGGAGGCTGTTACCATTTTCAATGCCTGTATACCTATTACCAACCAACTCATGGAATGATATCTGTGCATCCTGAAGAGAGTGACATCTTAGTGTATGGGAGACGGTGATTGCTATCTTTAAGCGATTTAGCTAACCATGAGGGAGTGCAGACCCGACACTTTATTTTGCACACATGGTGAACTTTCTTGGAGAACTTGAAGAGTTTGTGGGTTCATTAAGGACTTTATTTAGGACTTTTTTACATCAAAAGTTATATTTTGATATTTAAGTTGAATTGTTTTATTCACTTTATGACATTTTGCGCTACTGGACCACTTTAAGTTGTTCCTTTTGGGTTACATTGATTTATCAGAAGTGGCAGCAATGATCTGAGCACTATCTGTAAATATATGTGGCACGTAATTTTAAGCGCAGTTTTTTTTGTTTCTGTTAATGTTTTTATTGGAACCAATACAATTTCATGTTGGTGGTATCTGAGTGGTTAAATTGAATCTCTCTTTCCTCTCACAGCTGAGTACATCGTCATGCAGTTTGGCCGAGTAGCAGAAGATGTTTTCACCATGGATTTCCGCTATCCGCTGTGTGCTCTGCAGGCTTTCGCTATCTGTTTGTCCAGCTTTGACAGCAAACTTGCATGTGAATAGAGTTTAGAATCACAAAGTCCTGAATAAACGAGGCACATTTAATTTGGAATTCCATCCAAAACATTTTTTTGATTGAGTGGGTGAGGATTAGATCCTCTTTTGGGTTGTTATAGTGGCCTGTGCCCTCCATGCGGAGATTTCATCTTATTTTTAGTAGGGTAACATAGACAGGAAGCATGATTAAATCTCTCTAAATAGGGCACAGACAGTACTAAATGCCTTCTGTCAGATATTTACTGCTGTGTCCCCATTGGGGAGAATTCCCCTTTTTTACTGCCCGGGTATCCACAGAGGTATAAGGAAATCTCCCCAGGAGAGACACAGACAGTGATAAAAAGTCAGAAAATATCCAGCACTCAAAAATGCAGGAAAGCAAAATAGCAGAAAGTTTACAAAAATCCCACAGGAACCAACACAGGCCTCCGATTTTAAGGGTCCAAGACATAGCAGTGGGGCTGTATAGTACCCTTTTATAATGACTGTTGGCAACAATGCCAGACAGATTGATAAATGTGTCTAATTAAAACCTGACCGCCAATCCTTTCTCACTCTCTCCAAAAAAAAAAAAAAATCTGTCTGGAGTTCAATCTTAATGCATCCATGTATTATTGCACTTGCTAAAGCTGCTATATCTCTGCAAGCAATAGAGATTTACATTTTTTAAATATTTTGTTCACTGACGCACAAAGATCACATTGGGAATTTTCTATGAAAGTTACGTTTTTAACCTGATCATAGCTTTGAGAATGTATAATTGGTAACAGAAATACATATAAATAACAGTTTATCTTTGGATCAAAGGTACTTTTAAAAAAAAAAAACTGTAGTCAATTAGTAGTGCACTACTAGAAAGATCCAGAAAATACTGCAATTGTGATAAAGTCAGAAGACTTATCTCTTCCACTTTAGTCAGTTTCAGCAGGCTTTTCACAGAGCTTCTGTGTTGCACTACAGTTCAATAATTAAGATTTTTTTGCAATGTAACTTCCATGTAAGATAGCAGTGGGCTCAGAGAATGGGCAATGCTTAAAACCAAGGAACACACTGGCCTGTATTTTCATTTGCTTAGATTCAGTGATTTTCATAAAAATAGGGTACTGGAATTTCTGAGCTGCAAGGTGCACACAATGAATGCCACAGAGGGCATTAGGGCAATATGGCAGACTGAAAACTACTTCAGGCAATTTAGAGCAGGCAATGCACTTTGACTCTTGCCCCCTTTACTTCTCTTTGCACCGTCACCACCCTCTATGCAGGCAGAAGAAAAGAGACATAGTATAGGGATGCTGTACCTTCACCCTGTGTAAACTTCAACTGGGATCGAATATAGAGCGTATGGAGGGATCTTCTCTACAGTCCTGATGGCAAACAACTGCAGGGAAGTATAGGGAAGGTAAGTACAACATACTTACAGGGTCCATCTTTAAAGTGAACTTGTTGCTTTTCCTTGCTCAGCCATCATTCCAGTTCAATTTACAGTTTTAGGACTGACTACAGTACGCATTTAAAGCTGAACTTAAGGTAGATATTAAATAAAACACAATTTAGTCCAGTAATGTATTCATTAAAACTACTTAAACCAAATAATTTTAATTTCTAATAATTCCAGGCAAGGTAACAGATTAGCAGGTTCACTGTGAACCACAGGAGGCATCAGAGGGGTCAGTACTTACCTTCCCTATGGTCTCCCATCACTGCATTTCACTGCCAGACTTTATACATTCTGAGGTTGATTTACTAAAGGCAAATAGACTGTGCACTGTGCAACTGCAGTTGCACCCATTGTGCAACTGTAGAGCTTAGTGAATGTGATGAAACTGTGCTGATTTTCATCATCCAATCATGTGCAAGCAAAAATGCTGTTTTTTTTTTACCTTGTGCTGATGGGTATTCTTTACAAATTAAAACACAGTTTATATGCCTTTAGTAAATCAACCCCTCTGACCATATTATTTAAATAGAAACACAGCCAACAACTTAGATACACATCTTAAAGTAGAGCTATAGGCAAAACATTTTTTTCATTTTGGATAGAAGGGTGAGTTATAATACCTGTCCGTTTATTGTTTGCCATCTGTGTCCCATTGTGGAGATTTACCTTCACTTCCTGTCCCATAATCAAATCAGGATGTGAGAAAATCTCTGCAAATTAAGGGAATTCCTTGGGGACCACCAATTCACCAGAACTAGTGACCCCATTGGAAAATTTTCCTCTTTTAGGTTTCTGGGGACAACCCAAAATTTGGGATTTTCTTTTACTTAGGATAATGGTGAACAAAAAACTAAAAAAAGGTTTTGTCTTTAATTATACTTTAAGCTCATAGCACTGAGAGTACGCAAATATATGGCCTCTCGACGGTGTGCCTTCATGCTGACAGACTGCATATTTGCTTACCAAAATGTAAACAAACCTGCGCCGAGAACGTGCGCCCTTCACACTCCCAGCACAGTTATTGGTGCCTAACAGAAAACTCCAGATCGCTAGTTGCAATTGGGAGCTTTTCGGTCATGTGACCGTTGTGACAGCCAATCCTGGTGGTCACATGATCATAAACCCCCCCGCCCCCACCTTCTGGCATCAGAAACCCCTTAAAGGGCTGGGAGGTGCTGGCGTTAAGGGGTTAAACACATATACAGGAATTACTTTACCTGCCAAGAGAGGTGTAAAGTCATGTACATATTCTTATGGTGCCCCCACTGTGCTATGTGGCTGCATAACATGTTTGATGGTACACAACAATTTAAAGTGTAAGTTCTTGTTGTAGAAAAAATGAAATAATGAACTCATGAATAATTAACTAATGAATATTGAAGACAGTACAATCTCCTTGGTCCCATGGAGCTGTACATACCTTTGTGGGTGATGAGTTCAGTGCCCACGCAGTGGTCTGGGGATTTGATATCCCCGCTCTTCTTTCTTTTCTTTCTGCTCAGGGTGATTCTGATTGGTCAGAACCGGCACAGAGCATCGCTCTGATCTGCTGAAGGAAGAGGAAGAACAGGGATTTCAAATCCCCAGACCACTACACCAATTGCATGGGCACTGACCAAGTACAGTGGGGACTTGGGGGTGGGGAGGGTGTACAATGTTATTTTCTTACATTTTTTCTGAAAAGGTGAATTAACCCTTTAGCTCTAAATTCTCTATGCCGGTGCCCCTCCCATCTCAAGCTTGATTTGGCTAACAGCTGGTGTGTAACAGAAATGAAAATAAATTTCAGATCACACAGACTATGGAAATATACATAAATATATGAAAGTGAATTAAAGTGTATTTTTATATGTTTGTTTAGTTCTTTTTTAAAAGAGGCAAAACACTAAATATGGTAATAAAAATGTGAAATGAAAAGATTTTTACTAGCGTCTGTTGTTTTTTTCTTGGATGCACTGCCTAGAAGTAAGACATCTATGTAGCTTTAGGCCTGCAGCAAGAAATGAAGGCTGCTTTACGATATAACCTGCTTTTGTGTTCTGAACAAAATAGCCTTTACATAGCATGTCATTCCATCCAAAAAGGGCCTCTACTCTCTTCCATACACAGTACACACATTCCAAAATTTACCAGCTGAAAAAAAGAATTGTAACCCTTAATGTGGGAACTTCTTACATACCAAAAACAATACAACTCCACAATATGCAGATTTAGTAGTGATGTTCTATCTCCATCATCTCCTGCAATGCTCATGTCCAGGACTCCTCCAGAGCCTCTCCCATCCTCTAGAACTTCCTACCCTAAACTGTCCGGCTGTCTCCTACTTTGCGAGCCTCATCTCTTCAGGGAACTTTATTCCACTTCTTCCTAAACCTTAATAACAGCTGAAATTTTGCTTTCTTGAACTCATCCCTACAGAGGGTTTAGCTTTTGTATTACTTTTCCCTCGTGTTGTCCCTCTCATGAGGAGGTTCTTCCTAACCCTCTTGTCTTCAGTTGTATTGTAAATTATCTCTATTATCTTGTAAAGCGCTGTGCAAGTGCTATATAAAACCTGTAGAATAATTCTCACCCTGACTGTATCAATATTTTATATCTGGCTATCCACATTAGATTGTAGCTGGCTATGTACATATGATATGACTTCCTGACAATCTCCTTTTTTATAAATTACCAAACAGACATACGAATTGCTATTCTAAGACTATTGCTTACCATGTGTACAGCAGACATCACTCCTGTCATTTAGGGGGAATAATAATTATTGGCTTAGGAAATCAACCCTTCCAAGAGACCTTTACCCCCAAAATACCTTATGTTAGTTCAGGGGATCTACTGAGGTCTGAAATCAACCCTGGTCATCCTCATTGTCACTTGATCCAGGAAAAATCAACAGCATTGGGTGACAATCATCTAATTGCATTGAGAAACTATAAAGATTTGGGGTCTATTTTATTATTTTTTTCTTAACCCATTCATGATGAAGGAAAAATAAATCTTTAATTCCTGTAACGCTGTACTCGTCATCATCATTATTTAGTGTATCCAGGTCAATTATGGTGGTAAATGTTCATGGATATCTCTTGATTTTTTTTTATTATCGAAAGAAAACGGGCCCAAAAAAGTCAAATAAATAGCATTTTTTAAATTTAGCTGCAAATTTCTTGTCTTGCCATTACCCTGGCCTACAGCCAATGAACAACCCACACAAATGTTCCCATTTCTGATGATTGTAGTGATACCACATATGTGTATGTTATTTGTTGTTTGTACATAGTGCACATTTCATGTTTTTTTTTTATATCCTTACTGACACAAACTGACAATGGGACAAAATTAAAAAATTTGACCCTTACCGTGACCTTTTACCCTAATCTCAACCCTGACACATAAGAGCACCCCTCTTACGTGAAGAATTCTGGTCATATGCTTGATATCCTGTCTAATTATAAGTGGCAACTAGGACATAGATGGGTATCTCTTGAAGTTATATAACTGCATATGTCCATAGAGCATGAATTTGGTCTTCAGACAGTTC